CTTAAATCTGTTAGCGAGGGGAAGGAGCTGTTCTTAAATCTGTTAGTACGCCTTTGATACTTTTGTATCTTCTGCCTGATGGAAGTGGATGGAAGAGAGTAAAGCCGCAGTGGGGGGGTGGTCTTTGATGATGTTAGCTGCTTTCCCGAGGCAGAGGGGAGTGTAGATGGAGCCAATGGAAGGAAAGGCTGGTTTGAGACATGGACTTTGTCTTTAGGGGACACGCTCCGAAGTAACTGCTCGAAAATATTCCGTGACCCCGACCTCTCTGCTCGCCCGGGAAGAGACTTCACGGCAGCTGGGAAAAATTGGGGCCGGAGTAGCCCTTCAAGCTTGCTCTCCCCCATTCCATAATATCTCGGCTGATCATCCAACTCAGTCCCCTGCTTTCTCCCCGCGCCCCCCACCCCATACCCTTCGATCCCTTTCACCCGGAGAACCATATTGAAAACATTTCTGCTCCGACTGCTTCCTGCGACAGAGCATTCCACCCACTCTCTGGGTAAAGACATTTCTCTTCGTCTCAGTGCCGGGTGAGGCCAGCATTTATTGCCCCATCCCTAATTGCCCCAGAGGGCAGTTAAGAGTCAAACATGTTGCTGTGGGGTCTGGAGTCACATGTAGGCCAGACCAGGTAAGGACGGCAGTTTTCTTCCCGAAAGGACATTAGGCTTCAGTGGGAGACCCCCTCATTTTTAAACTACGCCCACCCCCTACCAGTTCTAGGTTTGCCCCACCACCTTGAACCGTCTCCCAGGACATTGATCAGAAGGGCTGAGGAGGGGCAGATGGAGTTTAATTTAGATCAATGTGAGGTGCTGTATTTTGAGAAAAGGCAAATCAGGACAGGGCTTATACACTTAATGGGAAGGTCCTGGGGAGAGTTGCTGAACAGAGAGAGCCTCGGGGGTGCAGGTACATAGTTCCTTGAAAGTGGAGTCGCAGATAGACAGGGCAGTGAAGAAGGTGTTTGGTACGCTTGCCTTTATTGGTCAGTGCGTTGAGTACAGGAGTTGGGAGGGTCATGTTGCGGCTGTACAGGACATTGGTTAGGGCCACTTTTGGAATACTGTGTTCAATTCTGGTCTCCCTGCTGTAGGAAGGATGTTGTGAAACTTGAAAGGGTTCAGAAAAGATTTATAAGGATGTTGCCGGGAGCTACAGGGAGAGGCTGAAAAGGCTGGGGCTGTTTTCCCTGGAGTGTCGGAGGCTGAGGGGGTGACCTTATAGAGGTTAATAAAATCATGAGGGGCATGGATAGGGGTGAATAGACAAGGTCTTTTCGCCCAGGGTGGGGGAGTGCAAAAGTAGAGGGGCGTAGGTTTAAGGTGAGAGGGGAAAGATTTGAAAGGAACCTGAGGGGCAACTTTTTCACACAGAGGGTGGTGCGTGTACGGAAGGAGCTGCCAGAGGAAGTGGGTGGGGGCTGGTACAGTTACTACATTTAAAAGGCAGCTGGATGGGTACATCGATAGGAAGGGTTTAGAGGGATAGGGGGCAAATGCTAACAAATGGGACTGGATTAATTTAGGATACCTGGGCTGGCACAGACAGGTTGGGCCGAACAGTCTGTTTCCATGCTGCGTCAATGTATGAACTCAGGATCTGAGCTGTTTCAATAAGATCAACCTCCTATTCTCCTAAACCCCAAGGAGCACAGGCCCGACGTGCTCAACCCTTAATTCGGGTGGGTGGGCGCCCAGCACAGGATCTGATGGACGGAGTGGTCCCTCCCATCACCACTTACCATGATCAGCACCGCCTCTCGCAGATGCTCAGCCACCCGATCTCCAATCTTCACCG